TAAATTTTCCCTTACCTTTTTTTCGTAAAAAGTGAAAAACCCATTTTTTGGTGGAAACCCTACGGAACCCCCGGTAACCGCTTTGCGAAGGGCCCCAAAGGATTTTTTTCCCCTTTCCAAGGAAAGGGGGCCCCTGCAAATTTTGGTTTATATTTACCCCAGGATTTTCCCCCCCCCCCCCAAAGCCCCCCCCCAAAGCCTGGGTGCCCTAAGGGTTTAACTTTTTTTAGCCCCGAAAACGGGCCTTTTTAGGGGAAAATCCCACCACCCGAAAACTGGGGTCTTAATTTAATTTGGGTTAACATTTGGGCCCCCTACATTTTTTTTCCATTTTTACCTCTTGGTTTTTCAATTTTTTTACCTGAAAGATTTTTTACTCAGTTTTTCCTAAATTTTTTAAAAAATTTTGGTGTTTAATTTATTTTTATTTTGGAAAAAATTTAAAAAATTTTTTTTAAAAATAATTTGTTTTTTTAAATTTTTTTGATTTTGGGGTTTTTTTTTGGGGAGTTATAGGGAAATTTTAATTTTTTTTTTGTTTTCTTAATTTTTTTTTTAAAAATTAAAGTTAGTTGATTTTTTTCATTTTATATTGAAGTGTTTTTTTATTTAAATTTTTAAAATTAAATGGGAAAATTTATTTGGAATTTTTTTTGATATGTTTTGTTTTTTTGGGTGGTGAAAGGTTTTTTTTTTTTATTGGGTGGGAAAAGGGTTTTTTGGGGGGTTTTTTTTTTTTTTGGGGTTTTTTAAAATTTATTTTTTGGGGGGGGGAAAAATTGGGTTTATGTTGGTTTTTTTAGGTTTATTGGGGGTTTTTTTGGGGTTTTTATTTTTTGGTTTATAATATTAAAGGAATTTAATTTAATTTTTTATTTTTAAAATTTTTATTTTTTTATTTGGGAAAATTAAAATTTATTGTATTTGTTAATTTTATTTTTTTTTTTTTTTTTTTTGGTTTTTAATTATTTTGTTTTTTTTTATTTTTTTTTTTTTTTTAGTTATTAATATTAGTTTTTTATTTTTATATTTATATTTTTTTTTTAATATATTTATTTTTTATTTTAAATATTTTTTGTAATATTTAATTTTTATTATAAATTTATTTTTATAAATTTTTTAAAATTGATATATATATAATATATGTTAATTTATTTTAAATTTAAATTTGAATATTTGTTTTTATTTTTTATATTGTTTATTATTTGTTTTATATATTTTTTTGTATTTTTTTAAATTTTTTGATAAATTTGTTTTTTTTATATTTTTTGTAATTATATATTTTTTTTAATTTAATAAAATTTTTATATTAATATTTATTTAATTTTTAAAATTTTAAATAGTTTAATTTTATTTTATTTATATAGTTTTAATATTTATAAAAAAAAAAATTTTTTTTTTTTTTTTTATTATTTTGATAAAATAATTTAATAATTTTTAATTTATAAAAAATAATTAAATTTTTTTTTTATTTTTTTTTTATTTAATTTTAAAAATTTTTTTTTTAATATTTTTTTATTTTTATTATTTTTAAAAATTTTAAAAATTTTATTTTTTTATTTATTTTAAAATATTTTTTTTTATTTTTATATTAAAATTTTTTTTAATTTTTTTTTTTTATTTTATTTTATATTTTTTAATATTTATTAAAATTTTTTTTATTTTATTATTTAGTTAATTTTTTGGTTTTAATTTTTTTTTTTTTTTGTTTAATTTATTTTTTATTAAAATTGTTTAATTTTTTTATGTATAATTTTATTGGGTTGTTTTTTTTATTATTTTTTGTTTTTTTTATTTTTTATTTTTTTATTTATTTTTTTTATTATTATATATTTTATATTTTTATTTTATGTATATTTTAAAATTTTATGTATTTTATTTATTATATATATATATTTAAATATAATGTATTTATATTTATGTAAAATTTTATATATTTATTTTGTTTTTTTTTTATTTTATTTTAATTTTATATATTATTTATATATATGAAATTATTATATATATATATTTGTATATTTTATATAAAAATATATATATTTATATTATATATTTTTTATATTATAATTATATGTTTATATATATTATATATATATATATATGTATATAAAATTTATGAAAATATTATTTATATATTAAAATTTTTATTTAAAATATTATATATAATTATTTTGTTTATATATAATATTTATATTTATTATATAAAAATATTTTTTTATATATTTTTTGTATATATATTTATGTTTTATATTTATTTTATATATTATTTTTTTTATAGTTTATTTTATTATTTTTTATATGTAAATTTATATATATTTTATTTAATATGTTTTTAATTTTTTAAAAAATGTATTTTTTAAATTTTTATATTTTATTTATATATAAAAATTATTATATTATTATTTTTATATATATTTTTTTGTATATATATAAGTAAAATTTAATTTATTTATTTATTATTTTTATTTATGTATTATATATTTAAATTTTGTTATATATTTATTTATTTATTATTTATTTTTATAGGTAATATATATATTAATATAATTTTTTAGGGATAATTATTGTTTTTTGTTATATATATATATATAATTTTTTATATATATATATGTTTTATATATTTTATATATATATATATTTATTATAGTTTTTATATAAAATATGTATTTTAATTTTTATTTTAAATATAAAATTTTTTATTTTATTTATATTATATATTTTTAATTTTTTTAAATATATTTTTATTATATTTAAATTATAATATTGTTTATATTATTATTTATATTATATATTTTTATTTATATAATTTTATTTATATATATATATATGTATATTTATTTAATATGTATTATATATATATATTATATATATTTATATATTTATATTATATATTTATATTTATATTTATTTTTTGTAAAATATATTTTGTATTTATAATGTTTTTAATATTATTTATATATTTTTATTTATTATTTTATTATTTTATGTATATATATATATATTTTATATATATTATATAATATAAAAATATATGTATATATATTTTTTATATATATATGTAATTATTTTTAAAAATTTATAAAATATATATATATGTATTTAAAAGTAATATATTTTTATATTTTGTAATTATATATTTTGTATTTATATATAATTTTTTTTATATATTTTTGTAAAAATTAATTTATTATTATATATATTATGTTTATATATTTTTTTAAATTTATATTATATTATTATATAGTATATTTATATAATATATAATATAATATGTATATATATATATTATATTTTATATTATAATATTTTATATTATATATTATATATGTATATAATTTATATATATATGTTATATATATATGTATATATATTATATTATTTAAAATATATAAAAATGTATATATAATATTATTTATATATTTATATATATATTTTATATGTATTATATATTTTATATTTATATATATATATTTTTAATATATATATTTATATTATTATATTTTATATATATATAAAATATATATATATATATATATATATTATTTTAAAAATAAAATATATTTATATAAATATATATTTATATATATAATATATGTATTAATATATATATATTTTTTAAAATTATATATTATATATATGGTAAAGGAAATACAATTTAAAATATACTAGATTTTGTTTTGCCCAAAAACCCATTACGACCGGGTTTTCGGGATTATTTACCATGTTGTAAAAAGGGGACGAGGGGGGAAATTTTTCAAAAACCCTAAGAAAAAATGAAAACATGCTTTTTTAAATTTTTGGACGAATGGTGACTAAGGAAATGGTATATTTTGGGGGTTCAAAGGTGAAAATGTTTGTAGCTCGTTTTTATGATTTGGGTTTTAACAAAAACTTTTTCTGTTGTTCAAATTCACTTCGATTCAGTAAGGGTTTACAAAGTGATTTCCCCCCTTTTTTTTTTTTAATTTTCCCAAATATTTATATATATATATATAAAAATATATATTTTTATAAAATATATATATAAAACCTGATCTCCGGGCTGAAGGAGACCGAAAACCTGAACCCTTTGGACAAGGTCGCAGTGCTTTACCAATTACCCAATGGGCAATACCTGGTGTGTACTTGCCTACACACCTGCTCTCGCGAAATTTCCTTTCATATTATATAAAAATTATAAATAAATATATTTTTTTAATATTATATTTTTTAAAATATTATAATTTTATAAATTTTATACGTAATGTCGGCCCCAATAGGTAAAAATTTGAGATTTTGGCTCAAAAAGCAACGCTCTTTCCGAATAAAAGGGAAGCAAAATTTGTGTATACAATAATTTCGCAAATATCATTCTGAACCTAACGAAAAAAATATATTCCATTGTGTTTTTTTATCATTAATTTATTGTAAACTTATCTAGAATATATTTAGTTGGATTAGGCTAAATTAAATTGCGCTTGTTATAATGTTAGGTAAGTTTCTAAGGTTCTCTTGGTACAAAATTATTAATTTTTACATTAATATAAATTAAAAAATATTTTTATTATTATTATTATCACACTGGCCGATTCCCACGAAGGCAGGGTGGCCCGAAAAAGAAAAACTTTCACCATCATTCACTCCATCACTGTCTTGGCAGAAGGGTGCTTTACACTACAGTTTTTAAACTGCAACATTAACACCCCTCCTTCAGAGTGCAGGCACTGTTACTTCCCATCTCCAAAATATATATATCTTTAAACGTATAAGCTAAAATTTCAGAAAAGACTTAATTTTACATGAGTTGATTAAACAGATTGCTGGTGGCGTACAAAGACATGATCCGATCAGTGGAGTATTTTGGCATCGCCATGATTGAGGGTCTCTTCTACTTTGGAAGCGGCAGCCTAACCCACGAGAGGTTTGTCAACTACATCACCTATGACATCCTAGCCTGGAAGTCCCTCAACCAGACCAAGGACTTTGTGCAGCTCATCCGCGAGAGAGTGGAAGATTTTAGATTCCAGTATGAAGAATTACAAAATATTACAGAGTGGTGAGCACACTTGTCAGTAGTCTCCCACTCTTCTCTCTTTCCCACATTCTTTTGATCATGCAGTATGTGTGAACAAGAAAATAATGTCTCTCAGTGCACTTTAGTGTGTAAATTAGGAATTAGAGCAACTCTGACTGGGAGTGAACCTCGTGTAGGCCATATGCTTTATGCTCCCAATAATCAACCGACCATCCATCTGCTTGTATAAACTCTGAATATATATGATGGCTTACTTTGTGGTGTAAGCTTCACTGAGTTTTCCTGGGTTACAGTCCCTCCGTGTTAACCCAGACAAATTCTTCCTGTAGGAGTGAGGTGATAATGAGGAATAAGGCGCAGGAAGTGGACCTGAGTGTGGCAGACGATTACTTCTACATGATGGTACGATTTACAGATGAACTGCGGGAACTACAGTGGCTCCTCCTTGATATGATCAAGTAAGTAACACCTCTTGTCTGCCTTAAATTCAATTTTTATTGCCTTTTTAACATGTCATTAAACGTTGTTTGGTACAAAGGAAAGCCACTGGTATGCAATGCATTTCGGGCGTCTCTCTCCATATACATATACATGCTCACACATGCACTTCTTATATGTAACATACTCAGACATATTGCTTGCACGTAAAATACTCACACATATAAATATTGTATATACATACAGAATCGCTGCATACTTTTATATACACAGACTGCACGCACACAAGCACTGTATGACTCACGAAATAGTAATAACACAGTTGCAAACAAATCAGGGAACAGGTGAGGCTGGAACCCTTGACAGGTGAGTCCTAAAACTCACCCATAGGAATCATACAGAACTTGGGGAGTGGAAGCAGTCATGTTTGATCCATTTCATTGGATCAAAATCCCTTTACCAGCATCAAGGCACTCTTGAATAGGTATAATTATAAACTTTCTCGTTATAAATATCCCTGAATTTTCTTGGTTGTATATATATGAAACTCACAAAAATCTCCTAACACCTGCTGCCCTTATTCACCTAGCAGTAAGCAGGTACTTGGGTGTTACCCGAATGTTGTAGGTTACAGCTGGGAAAGAGGACCAAAGATCCCCAGTTGAAATAACCCACACTACTTGGCTTTCTTGGTTTGTCCAGTGTTAATATCTCTCCATGGTTAATTATCCGAAGCTTTCTTCTACCTTACTACTTGTATTAACATACGTCAATACAGTATTTGCTGCTTTGAGTTTTACTAGAGATTATCTCCACCTTGCAGATGTTGACCAAACTTGTCTTATTACTTGTCATGGCTAACTTTACTAAAAGTGAATATTTTTTAAAATAGCTTCACTAAATATAATACTTTAATTGTAATCATAGTGATGCACTGGTATGTACGATTTAAGCACTTTTGCTGTCAATAGATTTGTGATAAATATGAAAATCGTGAGGTAACATGAAGCACAGAAACACGCATTAAAAAGACAATATACATTTGGACCTTGACAGGATGTACATGAAGAAAGAAACTCGAGGCGCTGACACACAAGTAACCATCTCCATCATTGTTCTGGTGGTAGTGGTAGTCATCTCTCCCATTATCATCTTCCTCGTCCGCCACGCCACCTACACCATTCAGGTGAATGCAACACACTTTAGCATTTATAGTATTCATGAGGTTCTTTGGAAACAAAGAACCTTATCCAAGGAGGCAGAAAAAGCTGAATGTACCAGAGTAAAATGGTGCCAACACTCTATATGGGTGTGAAACATGGGTTTTTAAACAAGTCAGCGAGGGAGAATTCATAGTTACATTAGAAGGAGGGGTTGTTGAGGTGGTTTGAACGTTTGGAGAGGATGTAGCAAAATGTGATGACTAGGAGAGTGTATAAATCTAGGGGTGGGACAGAGGTCGTCTTAGGAAAGGTTGGAGTGAGGAATAAAGGAGCTTTTGTGTGAGGGGGCTTGGACATCCAACAGGCTTGCGTTAGCATGCTAGATGGAGGTGTAATCAGGTGGTTTTATGATTGACGTACTGTCGGAGTGCGGGCAAGATAACATTTATGAATGGATTAAGGGGAACTGGTTAACCGGACTTGAGTCCTGGAGATGGGAAGTACAATGCCAGCACTCTGAAGGATGAGTAGGGATGTTGCACTTTAGAGGAGCATCTGAACTGTGATGTCAGCACGCTTCTAGCATGAATGAATGACAGTGAAAATGCTTCTTCTTTTTCGGGTCCCCCTCGGTGGGAGACGGCTGTTTATCTTTCGGTGAATTTATATATTGAGAGATGTTTATCACTCATTGTTTATATACGAGACGCACATTTCGCAGTTTCTCTTCTATACACAGAGAGTAATGTATCTCGATGTACATACACTGACAGATGTGTATTTCTTGTTTTGAAGCTATCTCGTGGGAGACACACGGAACTGCAGTTCCCTATGTATAACGTTGTGTTGTTTTACACAGGTTTTCGCGGCCACACTGACAGCGAAGGGGACGGAGCTACGGCGGGAAAAGCGTCGGTGTGACCGTCTTATATATCAGATGCTGCCTCAGCCTGTGGCACTGCAGCTCAAGAAGAAACAGTTGGTGAGGATGAAATGTTGCCAACATGCTGCACACGAAAACATAGGGTAGAGGACACCAATGCATACACCAGGACACTTTTACTTGAAACGTTTAAATCCTGTAGACTTTGATCACTTCAAATTATCTATTTGAAGTGATCAGGGTTTCAGATCGAAATGTCTTCCATAAAGGTATCCTTGTGTACGAATTCATTTATTTTTTTTTTTATAGTTGTCGGAACTTATTACTTTCCTACTACACATAGACCGAAATGTTGCCCCAATGAATGCCTTATTCTGTGACTTGTGGATATGTCTTCAAACAGTTAGTGCTTTCTAGTGTTGAAGTTTCTTTCGACTGTGGTGGTGATTTGTTCAGGGAAAGACAGTGTCTCCTGACGATGGTTATAGTCAAATGGTGACCGACTGAGCGATCAAACATCCGCTATACAACAACATGGTTGGGTATTAGTAACCAAGCATCCGCTAGTGTGGCGGAGCTGAGTAAGATAAGATAAGATAAGATTTCGTTCGGATTTTTAACCCAGGAGGGTTAGCCACCCAGGATAACCCAAGAAAGTCAGTGCGTCATCGAGGACTGTCTAACTTATTTCCATTGGGGTCCTTAATCTTGTCCCCCAGGATGCGACCCACACCAGTCGACTAACACCCAGGTACCTATTTGCTGCTAGGTGAACAGGACAACAGGTGTAAGGAAACGTGTCGAATGTTTCCACCCGCCGGGAATCGAACCCGGGCCCTCCGTGTGTGAAGCGGGAGCTTTAGCCACCAGGTACTAGTGACTAAACATCCCCTAGTGTACTGGAACTGATATCAGTAATTAAACACCGACTGAGGTAGCAGATAAATACACCTATATAGTGTATACTTTTTTTTTTTTTTTTTTTTGGTCAAAATCCAATATTAATTTCTTAACTTTTTGTTAGTTTTTTATTGTGTTTTTTCATTAATCAAATGTAGATTCGTTTTTAATTTATTAATATTGCTTTTGTACTTACACTGTGCGTGTGCGTGCGTGTGTAGGTGCCAGCCGAGAGCTACAAGGAGGTGTCTGTCTACTTCAGTGACATAGTGGGATTCACCACACTCTGTTCTGACTCTGAACCCATGCAGGTAAGTTCCCCACACTTGCCATCTCTTTTTTTCAACTCCCACACCTGGCAATCTCGCTTCCACACTTGGCTGTGTCACTCTACACCTGGCTACATACTCTCACACCTGGCTACGTCGCTCCTACATCTGGCTATGTCGTCCCTTTCAGCCTTAATTACATCATAACTTAAACTTGGCTTAGTATAAATGCCTTAAATATGACTAATTTCTTGTCCATCGTTGTTGTATATTAACGAAGATACATCAGTTGTATGGGTTCAATTATTATTATTATTATTATTATTATTATTATTATTATTATTATTATTATTATTTGGAATGGGTTTTGGGTGCTGATAGAATTTTTAGGGGTGCTTCAGCTCCTTTCTCTCCTCGGCGCCGCCCCTTATGAAGACTGTTAACTTAAAAAGACTTCTCAGAATTATAAAAAGATGCAAGTACTTTATAAGGTACATGGTAGTTCTGTCATCCAGTTGCAGGACACACCATGGTGCCCAGCACATTTACCCCTGCCTTCAGCAGTGTAGCACCTGGGCGCTGCAGGTGAACGCTCAATATTTCCATTATCCTCGTGTGGTCTACCCGCTTTTGTGTTTCTGCTCACTACTTGGGTAGCGAACCGGTTCTGTGGGAAATCCAGAGGCGATCATTTGGCTTAGAGGATAGGGTGGGGGGGGGGAGGCTCCTTATAGTAACCTAGACCCATTTGGTCTGGGCTTCCCTGGCACACTACACTGAAGACCGTCTTAATTATGGATATGTGAGCCCCATTCTTGCAACACCTAGCAGTGTGCCATCTCGTCCTGCAGGTGAAACACTTCAGGGTTTTAGCAAGGCATGCCGTCTGCTCCGCTACCTTCCGCAGCTACCGTATGCTCATTCTGCCTCTGACATACTTGGTGTGTTGTTGCATCACTGCTTTCACCACCACCTGTCAGTGCTGTTTGGCTCTGCACTGCCCACAACACAACCACTCGCGTTGGTACCAAGGCTTGCATCGTCTCATTTGCTTTTAACACCACTGAATCACAGTCTTAAAGTTGTTATACTACCTCAGCTTTTTTCAAGATGTAATACCGCCCCTGAATATGTGTCCAACATCAGGCTATTAACACCCAGGTACCTATTTATTATTAGGTGAACAGAAGCAAAGGGTGTAGGAGACTTCCGCATGTCTCCGCTCACCTCAGGTTAAACCAGTATCTTGGTTGTAGGTCAAAGATACAGCCGCTGAGCTACGAATCTCGCAGTTTAATATGCAGAACATTTTTTCTACGAGATTTTCCAGCATCTTACATTTGTTGCCGACTGAAAAAACTTCTCTCATATACGGTTCATAAATGCCTTTCATGATCTTATTCACTAACATAATCAGAAATAGCATTGACTCAACTCGAGCACTAAAACTGACAGGTTTAATGCACTTTGTTGACACATTGCCAGAAACACTTGCATCGCACTGCACTTGTGTACTAGCTTCAAGAATTTGTACCAAGAGCTTGCCTCGAGAAAATTCTTGCAATTTTCCATTAATGGCATCCACCGCTGTTCCCCGCCTCAGCGCCTTTTCCTAGCATTCGGGGTATCTGTTATCAGTTGCTCTCTGAAGACTCTTTACACATTATAACCGAATGCTTATCACCATTCCAATCTCGACAGTTTTTCCAGATTTAGAACGCTGGGTTAAAAACCATGAAACTTCCCTTCACTCTAGCAGTGGGGCTTATTACATTAAAAAGACGAATATTTATTTACAGTTTATTATAAACATGGTGTCAGGGCTAGTTTTTGTCAGGCCCCGAGATGTCTCTGAGACCTTTTTTACACGAGACTTCTTATATTACTGAAAACATTAATGATATATATATACACCGGCCGTATCCCACCGAAGCAGGGTGAACTAAAAAGAAAAACTAAACTTTTTCTTCTTAAATTTAGTAATTTATACAGGAGAAGGTGTTATATATATACATAACAATTTACAAACAGGCGAAATTTTTAACAAATATTATCTCTCAGTTCACAGCAAGATTCGAACCTCCACACTCTATCAAAGTACACAGTACTTTCTATACTCTGCGAATAAATAGATTACTGCTCAAGAATTCGAACCATGGTCTTTGTACATACCAGGCCCATCGTTGTTATCACTCATCCATGGAGCTTACAACAAGATGATTTTTACAAAAATCACATATGTGACCTGGCTGTATCATCAGCTCCAACTGTGACTACTGTCTTATCCCACAGCCCCAGAAGTTTTCGTGGTACATCTATTCCCATACCTCTCAAAACCAAAATCACTGCCCAGTATTCTGTTACATAGAAAATTCTATAACAGCTGAAAACAGAGTCTGAAAACTGTGAATATTTAACTGGTAAAAAGGAAAAGAAAACAGACTGATCAATAAACTCATAAACCTACACATTTCAAAACTAAATAATAAATTCTTAATGAAAACTGAACAACGTTTCGGTTAGTTTAACACTATTAAGAAGTTCCTTGCTAACTGATGACGGATCAGGGGTTAAACGTCGTCCAGCTTTAAGCTTCAATTTGTGGCATTGTAACTTTTTTTAAAAACGTCGTCCAGCTTCAATTTGTGGCATTGTAACTTTTGTGGTATTGTAACTTTTACTCTTCATATCCATCAAATTAACGTCTGGTAAATTATTGTCAATAACATTTTTATGACCACTGTGGTGACGCTGCTCAGTAAACTGTATAACATGTACTGCTACTCACCACTGTGGTGTTACAGGTGGTGACACTGCTCAGTAAACTGTATAACATGTACTGCTACTCACCACTGTGGTGTTACAGGTGGTGACGCTGCTCAGTAAACTGTATAACATGTACTGCTACTCACCACTGTGGTGTTACAGGTGGTGACGCTGCTCAGTAAACTGTATAACATGTACTGCTACTCACCACTGTGGTGTTACAGGTGGTGACGCTGCTCAGTAAACTGTATAACATGTACTGCTACCCCACCCTGTGGTGTTACAGGTGGGTGACATGCTCAGTAAACTGTATAACATGTACCGCTACTCACCACTGTGGTGTTACAGGTGGTGACGCTGCTCAGTAAACTGTATAACATGTACTGCTACTCACTACTGTGGTGTTACAGGTGGTGACACTGCTCAGTAAACTGTATAACATGTACTGCTACTCACCACTGTGGTGTTACAGGTGGTGACACTGCTCAGTAAACTGTATAACATGTTCGACTCGCGCATCGAGAGATTCGACGTGTATAAAGTGGAGACTATCGGTGACGCATACATGGTGGTGTCCGGCCTCCCTCACCCCAACGGTCAGTATCAATCTCAACGATTACCAGCCTTAATACTCATTGCCCACATTAATGGTCATTACCCTCCCTAACAGTCATTACTAGCCTTTAACTGTTATTAACATCTTCATTTGTCAATATACATCAAAATGGTCAGTATCCACCCTGACGACCAGTAATCACACAACACCCAATATCCATCCATCTCAACCATCTGCCTTCATTCTGGGTACATGGTGACTCAATTTTACTGAGTCCTAACAGTCTTGAGTCCTGCAGAACAAGCTTTTATTGGGACAATATCTTTCCTTGTGTAGTTTTACCAAGTCATGTTTTATTAAAGCACTACACAGAGCGTAACGTTGTCCCTATAAAAGCTAGGCTTGGAACTCGCATGTTTGTGTTCATTCTTGTCGGAAATGTTACAGCACCTCCAGTCGTAGGTTCTGACACTCTCTCTGCGTTTAGTTCTTGGCCGGTTAGAAAGATATCATAATGCTTACCACACACATTAGCGGCTAGAACTCCAGTAGACACTATATCTTTACCAACACAGTTGTCATTACTGACCACTGTGGTTAATGTAAATTTTGGGCAGTCATTTAACTTAGATGTTTTCCATGAATGTCCATGATAGAAACATTTAAAAAAATATGTCTCGGGTAGTCGTTTAACTTAGTTTTTAGTGATAGTTAATTATTGCCACATTAGTTAATTATTATTGCCACATTAGTTAATTATTATTGCCACATTAATTATTGCCACATTAGTTAATTAATATTGCCACAGTAGTTAATTATTGTTGTCACATTAGTTAATTATTATTGCCACATTAATTCATAATTAATAGTAGGATTTTGTTAGATATTATTACCACATATAAATAATAATTACAGGTTATCTGGTGTGGCTCGTATTTTAGGGACGAGCCAGTAGAATTAAGCCATACTACATGGCATTGTCGGGTTATTCTGGGTTGATAACTCTTAGAGTTGTCGTCTTCCGTTAATCGTGTCAACTGTGCAATTAACGGATGGAGAAGCGAGCCTACACCACATATTGTGTTAAGTGCGTCACATAATATTAATAATAATGGTGTGGGGGCTCGCGAATCAACTGCGATTACTTCTTATTTATCAAGCTCTGATTAACACACCTGGTTAAGCGCTTCGCCTTGATGATAATAATATTAATTCTTCGTCTCTTTATTCTGACTCTTAGGTCTACGTCACGCGTCTGAGTTGAGCAATATGGCGCTGGACCTAATAGAAGGAGCCCAGAGCTTCGAGATCCCTCACCGCCCTGACCAGTCGCTCCTCATCCGCGCAGGAATTAACTCTGGCCCCTGTGTTGCGGGTACACTCGCCCTGACCTGTAGTTTACCTGTAGTCAATGACATTAACATGTTAATGGAAACAGACATTAGAATTAGGGTTAAGTCATCTTTGAATGTACTTGGGCAGCTTTAGAAATAACTTATTTTCGCGTAGACTGAAAATTTGATCATGAGTGATGATATAATAAAGCTCTTGAGAAATGAACGAGATTCGATTTCTGAACCAGACTTTATCGCGGGTTCGAACTCTACTCACTTGGAATTGTTCTTGTGGTCGCAGGTGTGGTGGGCACCAAGATGCCTCGATATTGTCTCTTCGGCGACACCGTCAACGTCGCCAGCAGGATGGAGAGCACCGGGGAAGGTCTGTATTGCTTCTTCACTAAGTCATAGTAACCTTGATGTTGATGTATAGGCGATTTACAGTCTTAATGGCTAATGTGCAGTCGATAGGTTTTTAAACCTAAGAAACTAATTTTACTGTTATTTATGTGTGCCAGCCATGAAAATACACATCTCCCAGACAACCAAGGAGCTCCTCGACAAGGTCGGTGGCTACACCTGTGAGTTCCGCGGCTACCAGGAGGTCAAGGTGAGCATGAGACTAAATTTTCACAATTGCGGGAAGGTAACAAGTTGTGTAAATAAGGCGTCGTGCGCTATCGAACCCTGGTCAGTAGTGAGTTCGAACGCAAATCATAAGAGATAAGATAAGATAAGATTTTGTTCGGATTTTTAACCCCGGAGGGTTAGCCACCCAGGATAACCCAAGAAAGTCAGTGCGTCATCGAGGACTGTCTAACTTATTTCCATTGGGGTCCTTAATCTTGTCCCCCAGGATGCGACCCACACCAGTCGACTAACACCCAGGTACCTATTTGCTGCTAGGTGAACAGGACAACGGGTGTAAGGAAACGTGTCGAATGTTTCCACCCGTCGGGAATCGAACCCGGGCCCTCCGTGTGTGAAGCGGGAGCTTTAGCCACCAGGCCACCGGGCCACCCCCATAAGGGGCTCGAAATTGATTCAATATTGGGTTCGAATGCACATGACGCCTGGTTTACGCAATTTGCTATGTTCGGCCCTATTAATATTAATAATTAAGACATTATTAATAACAATAATAATGGAACCTCAAGGGAGGTTGATGAGGGGGTTTTGATTTAAGGAACTGGGCCTGTGCTCTAATTCCTGGAATCGAGTGTAAATGTCTTCCATTTTCCTAGACGTCATATAACTTCTGGTTTACGCCCAGCCTTTCTCCTTCGTGACTGTAATAATAATCCACTCTACCTGCATTGTTCATCAAAAGAAAAAAAAGCTGTATGACCCTGGCAGGTTTAGCGCTTCCTTTTGATGATAATAATAATAATTATCCAGAAAACGAACATGGAATGTCATCCACTAGTGTCCTTTAGTATTCACTCTGCCGATGAGGACTCCAGATGGGAGAGAAAATATAGTCTCATTTCCATTATTGTTTCTTCCATTGCTGAAGAAAGTTTGGATGGCTTCTGTGCATGGGTTTGTCTGAGCAAATTAAAACTATATATATATTATATATATTATATATATATATATATATATATATATATATATATATATATATATATATATATATATATATATGAGGCGCTCAGATACGACCGCTCAGACGTTCCTCCAAATTGCCAAATCCCAAACCCCTCCTTTAAGGTGCAGGCATTGTACTTCCCATTTCCAGGACTTAAGTCCGGCTAACCGGTTTCCCTGAATCCCTTCGCAAAATATTATCCTGCTCACACTCCGACAGCTCGTCAGGTCCCAAAAACCATTCGTCTCCATTCAATCCTATCTAAGACTCTCACACACGCATGCTGGAAGTCCACGAAACCTCCTTTACCCCCTTCCTTCAACTTTTTCGGGGACGACCCCTCCCCTTCCTTCCTTCCCCTACAGATTTATACGCTCTCCAAGTCATTCTGCTTTGTTCCAGTCTCTCTAAATGACCAAACCACCTTAACAGCCCCTCTTCAGCCCTCTGACATACTTTTAGTAATTCCACACGTCCTCCTGATTTCCACACTACGAATTCTCTGCATAATATTTACACCACACATTGCCCTTAGACACGACATCTCCACTGTCTCCAGCCGCCTCCTCGCTGCAGCATTTACAACCCATGCTTCACACCCATATAAGAGTTGGTACCACTGTACTCTGGTACATTCCCTTATTTGCCTCCATGGATAACGTTCTTTGTCTCCACAGATACCTCAATGCACTGCTTACTTTTTTTTTGCTTCATCAATTCTGTGGTTAACCTCATCCTTCATAAACCCATCTGCAAACAAGTCAACTCCGAAATATTGGAAAACATTCACTTCTTCCTTACGCCCTCCCTCCAATGTGATATCCAGTTTTCATTTACATAAATCGTTTGATACCCTCATCACCTTACTCTTATCTATGTTCACGGTGGGAGACGGCCGACTTGTTGAAATATTATATATATATATATATATAATATATATATATATATATATATATATATATATATATATATATATATATATATATATATATTTCAACAAGTCGGCCGTCTCCCACCGAGGCAGGGTGACCAAAAAAGAAAGAAAATCCCCAAAAAGAAAATACTTTCATCATCATTCAACACTTTCACCACACTCACACATTATCACTGCTTTTGCAGAGGTGCTCAGAATACAACAGTTTAGAAGCATATACGTATAAAGATACACAACATATCCCTCCAAACTGCCAACATCCCAAACCCCTCCTTTAAAGTGCAGGCATTGTACTTCCCATTTCCAGGACTCAAGTCCGACTATATGAAAATAACCGGTTTCCCTGAATCCCTTCACTAAATATTACCCCGCTCACACTCCAACAGATCGTCAGGTCCCAAGTATCATTCGTCTCCATTCACTCCTATCTAACACGCTCATGCACGCTTGCTGGAAGTCCAAGCCCCTCGCCCACAAAACCTCCTTTACCCCCTCTTTCCAACCCTTTCGAGGACGACCCCTACCCCTCTTTCCTTCCCCTATAGATTTATATGCTTTCCATGTCATTCTACTTTGATCCATTCTCTCTAAATAACCAAACCACCTCAACAACCCCTCTTCTGCCTCTGACTAATGCTTTTATTAACTTCACACCTTCTCCTAATTTCCACACTCCGAATTTTCTGCATAATATTTACACCACACATTCCCCTTAGACAGGACATCACTGCCTCCAACCGTTCCTCGCTGCTGCATTTACCACCCAAGCTTCACATCCATGTAAGAGTGTTGGTACTACTATACTTTCATACATTCCCTTCTTTGCCTCCATAGATAACGTTTTTTGACTCCACATATACCTCAACGCACCACTCACCTTTTTTCCCTCATCAATTTATGATTAACCTCATCCTTCATAAATCCATCCGCCGACACGTCAACTCCCAAGTATCTGAAAACATTCACTTCTTCCATACTCCTCCCCAATTTGATATCCAATTTTTCTTTATCTAAATCATTTGATACCCTCATATATATATATATATATATATTATATATATATATATAATATATATAATATATATATATATATATATATATATATTTTATATATATATATATGTGTGTGTGTGTAACCACAAACAAGTGGTATTGATCAGTAACAACACTGCAACTAGCCAAGGACTCGAACCCATGATGTTTTGGCCCGCCTCATGGTGAGCGAAACTCACATGACGCTCTAACCCACAGGACGACCAAATCTTACAAGAGCCAAGCACCCAGTCGAGCTTGGTGTGTTACCCTTGGTCCGAGGACATACGGTGGTGTGGGTACCTCTGAGCTAATTTCATTTTACTCCCTGTTTCACTCACCATGAGGTAGGCCTAGACATCATGGGTTCCCGTCCTTGGCTAGTCGCAGTGTTGTTATTGATCAGTACCACTTGTTTGTGATTACAATAATATAAAATACTGCTTGTTTGGCTAGTACATCAAACAGGGAGTAGAATGAAATTAGCTCAGAGGCACCCACACCACCGTATGTCCTCGGACCAAGGGTAACACACCTAGCTTGGCTGGGTGTTTGGTTCTTGTAGCATTTGGTGGTCTTGTGGGTTAGAGCGTCATGTGATTTTCGCTCACCATGAGGCGGGCCAAAACATAATGGGTTCGAATCCTTGGCTAGTTGCAGTGTTGTTATTGATATATAAATTTTATATATATATATATATATATATATATATATATATATATATATTATTTATAATGTGTGTGTGTGTGTGTGTGTGTGCAATAAGATCACAGTAAACAGGTGATTTTAAAATATGCAAAACAACCACTGTGAAAGAGTAGTGAATATGTATATGTATATGTGTGTATATGTATATGTATATATAATGTGTATATGTATATGTATATATAACAATAAATTTCATTGTTATGAAAATGTGTATTTCGTAGGTTTGTTAACTCGTGTATTCATGATACAGGGCAAGGGGTCCATGCCAACATTCTGGCTGCTAAGAGGACCTTCCGACCACTCCAAGGATTTTAAAATCCCTATCGGCAGACTCTGAAGCCTTACATATATACCTGTATGCCCTTCCGTATCACACCTGTCCAGCCAGGTGTCCACAAATGATCCAGTCATCAGCGTACGCAGGTAACCCAGCCAGCAATGTACATCGATGTACCCAGTCAGGTGCAAACAGATGGTCCATTCAACAGTGTCCAGTGTAAAGAGATGGTCCGTTAAGAGTGTCCATTGTAAACAGGCGATTCATTCAAGAGTGTCCAATGTAAACAGACTGTCAATTCAACAGTGTCCATAATATAAGTAGACGATCCAGTCGTGTCCACAGATGGACCTGCGAACTGTACATACAGATGTTTCAGACAACAGTGTACACAGATGGTTCAGTCAGCAATGTTTCCAAGTGTTCCAGACAGGTGGTCCAGATGATATTCCATGGATGTGTTACTGTTGGTAATGTCTAAAAGAGTTCCAGTCAACATAAGTCACAAGTGTTCGAGTCGACAAGATCCACAAGTATTACTGTCAACAAGATGCAAAAGTGTTCTAAATAGCAGTGTTCACTAGTATTACAGTTATCAGTGTCCACGAATGTTCTATTTATTAGCATCCACGAGTGTTCCAGAAATAAACAGTGTTGACAAAAATTCCAGCGAGCAACGTCCACAAGTATTTCAGCCTGCTCTTTGAGAAGCATTAACCTCCACTGATGTTTAATGTTGTATGACATCAAAGTAGAATCCTCACAACTTGACATTTAAGAAGCACAAATGTAAGTGTAACGCTATAGTTTCGAACCTATGAACACCAACAAGGAAGCTAAGGGTGTTCAGACCCAGCAATAGCGCCAGGTCCGATTAGTACAAGGCTTGAAGGTCTTATGCGTATAACCTCACCAGTATTATTATCTATTGGTTTGCGTTTTGGCTTCGGTATATTGTTAATCTTTGTATAAAGAACTCTGTAACTGCTTCTGTTTTCAACGTATAAGTGAAGCCTCGTTTAATACTCGATTCATGCACTCAGAAATTCGATCCCAGCTGTTACAGCCATTAAAAGATTTACCTTTGTAGCATGATACAGCTAGAACTAGAATATTATTGTTTTTTCACACTATGCCTCGCATTCAGGTTCCTAGAAAGCATTTTCTGGTTACCTTCTTAGGAGTGTAATGTGTGTAAACAGTGTGCAGGTAACTTCAATATCTTTTACCTTACGAAGTTTTTTGTTTAGTTTCTCTGATAGATTTATTTTTGCACAACAAACCCATCATGTGAGCGTCAATCAAACAACTGCAGAGGCACGTAATAGGTCCAAGAACTGGGGAATCCTAACATTCTGCTGGATAAACGGTAATGAACAGTTTGTGAGAATAAGACTCAGTTACAACAGTAATGAGCTGCTTACAATCTTTTTTTTTTTTTTTGTCTCTTACATGAAAATGGATGACTATTTTTAAGCACAGTTTAGTAAGGATTTTTTATTTTGTACATCCTGCCGTCCTCTGCTGTTACCACATCAAATCAAACTTCCTTTTTATGCTGAATTTCTCATCATAAATCTTAAGTTTGCCTTAGAGTTGGCAAAATTTTGATGACTATGACCTCATTGATTTGTTTCTACAGAAAAAAGTTGTAGAAATCAAGAGTTTTTAAATTATTGTTTAGCAGTATATGATTTTCCTTTTAATCAAAACAAGCAAGACTTGATTTTTAAGTAACCTGAAGAACGTGACTTATTTTTTTTTTTTTTAGCTCTTGATAGAAGATACGAGAACTAATAGTAACAAGTAGATAAGTTAGACTTTTAAAGGTGTAGAAAACATATTGAGTTGAAGTCAGGTATGTTTTGTATATCCGAAGAATGCACACATTGCACTCTGAAAAACTCCAGTTTAATTATTTATAATGAATAGTGTAAGTAGCAGTCTTTAGTAATACTAGTAAATAGAAATGGTAACCTGTACCTTACCTGTGATCTGTTTCGAAAGTTCTGTCTCCTCAGCATTGTCTGAGACAAGTCGTCCCTGTTGACCTGTTCAACCGGGATCTTTGAGCTAGCGGCTCGCAGGCCCACTTAGCCCTCACAACCGGTTGATTCGGCACTTGTAGCAGGAAACTGTCCAGCTTCTGCCGGCAACTTTTTTCATATTTGCTGGTAGTATGTTGGAGAGTCTTGGGCTACGAACGATGACGGAGTGTTCTCTTACTGTGCCCATGATCCTTCCTGTTCTTCACTGAGTTTACTCCACTCAGTAAATTGTTATTGCAGTGTGCAGGATAGAGACCAGTAGTAATATTAGTATTATTAGGTACTATAATAGGTAGCAATGATAATTAGTGTTCTTTACTTAGTATCGTATAAGTTGCAGTAAGTACCTCAGTAAAATTAGCAAGTAAAATCAGTTTTATTTCGCTTTTCTGAAACAGTTACTCTCACTGTTCTAATACATCCACGTCATTCTCAGGTGCACATCAGTCGCATAAACTCAGCACAACTAATAATGTTTTTAACTTGCAGTATAAATTAGCTGCAATAAATATTTCAGAATAGTCATGTGGGCCTAGTGTGGGTAAGGAGGCCGTATCATCCTCAAAATACACCTTTTGTCTTAAAATGCATCAGCTTCTGAACGATCAAAAGTATGGGAAACGCTAAATATTTTAGGTGAAGCTTCCATGATGTAACTAAGTTAGGTAAGGTTTGTCAGGAAACAGGAGAATTGGTCCCTGATGCGGGTCCTAGTCATATGATGACCCACAGCTTGAGCTTTTGGTCATCTGAGCGAGGCCTTTCGCTGGCTTACCTGTCCACCCCTTTAAAAATTATGGTTAGAATTATAACTATCAAGTTTTATATATAATATATATATATATATATATATATATATATATATATATATATATATATATATATATATATATATATATATATATATATATATAAAGAAAATATTGTAACAGCTCCGGGGAGAACCTTGAGTTTCCCCTGAAGTACGTTTATTGTCTTCTCTGAGGATGAGGGTCCCCAGTAAAGTTCTAGAGGTGGTACCTCCTTATATTTAAAAAAAAAAATACACATATCCCCTGAACATATTTTATGCAATTGGTGAAAGACAAAGAAGCCGCCAGTTGGAGGATGTCCTGGAGGCCACGAGTGGTGAGAGACGGAGGTCGCAAGCGGTGGTAGATGGAGGCCGCGAGTTGCAGGAGACACGTGGAGGCCACGAGAAGCAAATAATGTGGAGGCAGAGCAAAGACCACGAGAAGACTAGGTCAAGGACCCAGGAGTGTGTTGATCCAGCTACATAGATGACAGCCTGGATGATGAAGGAGAGAAGGGGGAGGGAGATAGAGAGGGGGAGGGGCGGGAGAGAGAGAGAAAGGAAGGAGTGACTGGCATCTAGGGCTCTCACTGTCAAGCTTCCTCCCTACTCCTCAACATACCTGGAGTTACCTGGAGAGAGTTCCGGGGTCAACGCCCCCGCGGCCCGGTCTGTGACCAGGCCTCCTGGTGGATCAGAGCCTGATCAACCAGGCTGTTGCTGCTGGCTGCACGCAAACCAACGTACGAGCCACAGCCCGGCTGATCAGGAACCGACTTTAGGTGCTTGTCCAGTGCCAGCTTGAAGACTGCCAGGGGTCTGTTGGTAATCCCCCTTATGTATGCTGGGAGGCAGTTGAACAGTCTCGGGCCCCTGACACTTATAGTTAACTAGCGTGACCCTCTTGCGAGCGCTGGTCGGAGGATCGAGCCTCCACCACTCGAGAGTTCAGTAACCCAATAAATATAAATATAATTAATCTTATTTGATCCCTCGTTCCTCTTTCACTTTTTTCTGCTTATTCTTTCCCTTCCTTGTCATCACCTCTCTACTGTGTGTACTCAGCTATTTGTGGTTGCAGGGGTCGATTCACAGCTCTTGGTCCCGCCTCTTTGCTATTTAAAATAGTTATGGGGGAATTTCAAGGTAGTGTGCCTTAAGGAAGGTTTCTTAATGCCAGTGAAAGGCTCTTGTTGCAAGAAACTGAAGCTGTCCTCCCTTTCCTTGGATCGATTTTGATTGTCTCTTATTCTCCCAGGCGCTGATTGACCCCTGAGGGTTTTTGCGCTTCTCCTAAGTATAATATAAACAATAATTAAGACAGTACTTCAGTTTAAAAAATTACACCTGATTAAAATTACAGTAATTCAAAAATTTAGGATCACATTTACTATCAAAAGTGGAATAGGAATAATCTCTTTATTCATTAACGTCGAATCACACGGGAATGTATTTGCACTTACAACAAATACTTGGTGCAAACATCTACGATAAACAAAAAAAAAAGTAAATAGAGTGAAGTCTTCACGTTGAGAAATGTCTATGACGTTATATGTTCCTCCTGGAGAGGCGCCTTCAATGCCGGTGAAGCCATTTTCTTTATCCAAGGAAATAAACCTGTCATCACTTTCCTTGGACTAAATCTGATTGCCTCCCAAAAACCCAGGCGCTGTACGACCCGTACTAGTTTAGAGCTTCCCTATGAACATAATTATAAAAACATCTGAGTACTAATCCACTTACTCATCAGCTTTACATGACGCAACCACTGTAGCTTCTACTCAACCACTCCATTACAAAAAAAAAAACTGATGATAGTATATGATAAAATAATAGTGTAGATAAGACGGGTTGGTACTCGACTCCACAACTGAATTACAAATTGATAATCAAACCTAGACCTTGAGTATCTTCTCTCATTCGGTTCTTGATAATGTTGCTGGACGGAACGAAACATTATCCAATTTCCATTTCCAGTTTGCTGGTTAATTGTGATTTGTTGCAGCGACAATATCGTTAACAAGGGTCGGCTCATGTCAGTTTAAAGCAGCTCGACAGCATGACTGGTCTGTGACCAGGCCTCCTGGTGGATCAGAGCCTGATCAACCAGGCTGTTGCTGCTGGCTGCACGCAAACCAACGTACGAGCCACAGCCCGACTGGTCAGGAACCGACTTTAGGTGCTTGTCCAGTGCCAGCTTGAAGACTGCCAGGGGTCTGTTGGTAATCCCCCTTATGTATGCTGGGAGGCAGTTGAACAGTCTCGGGCCCCTGACACTTATTGTATGGTCTCCTAACGTGCTAGTGACACCCCTGCTTTTCATTGGGGGGATGTTGCATCGTCTGCCAAGTCTTTTGCTTTCGTAGTGAGTGATTTTCGTGTGCAAGTTCGGTACTAGTCCCTCTAGGATTTTCCAGGTGTATATAATCATGTATCTCTCCCGCCTGCGTTCCAGGGAATACAGTTTTAGGAACCTCAAGCGTTCCCAGTAATTGAGGTGTTTTATCTCCGTTATGCGCGCCGTGAAGGTTCTCTGTACATTTTCTAGGTCAGCAATTTCACCTGCCTTGAAAGGTGCTGTTAGTGTGCAGCAATATTCCAGCCTAGATAGAACAAGTGACTTGAAGAGTGCCATCATGGGCTTGGCCTCCCTAGTTTTGAAGGTTCTCATTATCCATCCTGTCATTTTTCTAGCAGATGCGAGTGATACAATGTTATGGTCCTTGAAGGTGAGATCCTCCGACATATATATATATATATATATATATATATATATATATATATATATATATATATATATATATATATATATATATATATATATATATATATATATATATATATATATATATATAATGCCTTCAGTATATTAATATTATTTGCCTCTGAGAAATATTGATCATATACGTCGGTTCAATTTAGGAATCGTATAATTTACTCTCAGTAAGTTGCATCACTCAAGGCGACACATATATACTCCTTCCCTTATTACATAACAGATATTCTGAAATACATGATATTGCTTACTTGTTAATACAGAAATATAAAAACTATTGCCTATACCTACTCAGGTTTACAGTACAAAATATATACAGAAAAAGATATTCTACAACATAAAGAATACTTGAGAATGAAATTGACATTATCAAGGACGAGCAATGTGTATATATGGAGCAGAACAATTTAAGAACAACTATACATTGTGCTTCAATATGAATTTAATGTTTCAACAATAGTAGCAAATAGTCACGAAAAAATAGATATGATGAGTTCAGTTCTAATGTTCTGCATGAACAAATTAACTTCACATGCGGCCGCGATCTGTTCTATATTCTCTTGATTTCATTTTAAATTTAATTTGTCTTTCCATCCTGCCGTCAGTTATGTTATTTATCTTCTTCTATTGTCATTTTTATATTTTTACTTCATTCGTCTTATTAATTGCGTCTGTCTACTCTGTATTTAAATGTCTGTTTTGGTTGATTCTAACTTTTATTCGTACTTCCTTACCAATTTCTCCTGAATATGTTATCGTTTTATTCTCGGTATCAGTGACAGGTAATGGGACACCAAGCGGTATGAAAAGGTAGATGATAATACCACGGTCGTTATCCAGGCAGCAACTGAGGGTATTGCCAGAGTAGAAAGGAAATACTGCCTACGTAAATTCGAGTTAATCAATGCTGGTTGCCCCAGAAATGAAGTAGATACGCTTATAGCCGCCTTTATTTTGTATAATCGCACCAGAGACCCCCGCAACCCTCTAATGATTTACGACAACAGCGTTAGCTGCTACTTGTAATAATACCTTGAAAATAGTCATCCTGTTACCCATCCCTCTCGTTGTTAGGTGTAGAATTTAAGGTGACCAGAGTGAAGGTGAAACTTGTGTCAAAGAAAATGAATGTCTTCTCAAAATAAAAATAAAAAAAAAGTCATAATGTCACTGAGGTAGAATTTCTGAAGTCGTTGTTGATTGTTTGAAGTTGTTCGAGTTGATAGGTATAATACGTTTTCATTGCTTAGCGCTTCTTTTTGATTATAATAATAATACGTTTTCAGTTGTGTTGAACTCTGCCCATGTCCTCAATTTGTCGAATTCGTCCCATGATAATTGGGCGAGTGATGTCGTTGACTCGTAGAGAGCGAGGCCCTTCAGTGATAGTGTGTGTCAGCAGTTTTGTTGTGTGGTGTAGGCTTGTGTGTTGTGTGCTTCACTCTTGAGGTCTAGTCATACTCATCATCTTTGTTGAAGAGACAGTAGAATATGGCCACCAGCAACATGATCGCTGCAAATCCAATATGAAAAAAATAACATTTGGGTAAATAACACTTGATAACATAGACTTACACACGCCCCTTAAAACAGTTATTTATTCTGTATGACCATTTAACGACAATGGGTTGCATGTCAAGCAGTGACTCATGTTGATAGTGCAAAACTTTTTAATATTTATGGATAAAAAAATAAATTATTTTTATAATAATAATATTATTATTATTTGCAGAATAAGAAAATAAATTATTTTTATAATAATATTATTATTACTATTATTTACGGAAAAGCGTTAAACACGTAAGGACTATACAGTGCTTGGGAATGGGAGATAACCAGGTTCTATGGAAGTCAGAGGAGGGCAACTCCAATATCTAAGATCAAAGAGCCCTTCATCCGCATCAAAGCACCCTTCCCACCCACTGAAGGGACTAGATGTAATAAAAAATACACCTCTAAATGAGTACTGTATATTGGAGTATGTAGAGTACGAGATATCAAGCAGGTGAAGTACTAACCGCCGATGACGAGAACGATGGGGCCTAGGAAGCTCATAACAGTCATGTCCTGTATCATAACCATGATGTAGGAGTCGGTGGGAGCGTAGGCCAATACCGTCAGGATGAAGCCAGACACGAAGAAGGAGAAGCCCAGGTAAGTGAAGATGAGTAGCGGCACCTGACCCACCGTCGGCTGTACCAAGTGGACACAAATGTAACGTTTCACTAGTGTATTA